CATAATTTGAAGAAAATTTTTCTACTTCTACAAATACATACTTGGATATCGTTTAAGCTCTCGTTGGACAAGGTCGTAAGGGAAAGGACAAAGCTGTTCCACCCTACATATTGCAACATCCTTTGCTTCAACCTTAGTTCGGTGATCATCAAGTTCATAGTAAACCTGCAAGAGATAGTTGAACTCTGTAATTTCAAAAGGCATGTAATTGAAGTACGACTTAAATATGGTTTTAATAAACTCCACCAGATTAAAGACCTTAGAAACCATTTAAATTGATAATAAAAACTGGTTTCGGGCAACTAACACATACCTTTCCAGAGCAAAGAACTAATCTCCTAATACCCTCCTCAACATCTGAGTGATAGTTTTGGTCTTTTATGAGACGCTTAAATCTTGTTCCCTGTTTGTCAAAACCTGGGTGGCCTTGGACGTCATCAAACTCAGATAAATTTGATCTACAAACCTTACTACGAAGCAGGTTCTTAGGGGACATTACAATGAGAGGTTTACGGAATTCTCTATGTACCTGCAAAAACAAAAAGCAGCAGATTATGAGGAAATAAGGATCATAAATTTAAGTGAACAAGGGACCACTTAAATCAAATCATTGTTATTAAATAAGGGAACAAAGCTCTCCTTATCATGAAAAATCAAGAGCTCTCTCAACACAGGAAACAGATCAGATGGCTAAGAGCATGAAGGTCAAGGTCAACAATCACCTCCCTCCCAGCTTCCTACAGTGGTGTGGTTGGAGGGACCATTGGAAGATACCAAAGGGCGCTCAAGAAAGACTTATTCGTATATGGTTTTAGGTGATGAAAAAGATTATGATGACTGTAGGGAAGTTCAAAAGAATAGGAGACAGATGAGGAGCAGGCTGAGCAGTCATGGTTAAAGAGTACTCAGTACATGCCTAAACTAACAATAAGTTAGGTGTGATTCATTCACTCATACGAAACCATATTATTGAGTTAGACAATGATTTGGATATTTACTGGTTTGGCAATAGATCTTGGGAGTCTAATATGAATATCTGTTACCAAAAAAACTAAATTTATTTTACCAACCTGCCTCCTTAGAACATGGAAAAAATTAGCAGGAGTTGCGACATTCACAATCTGCAAATTACACTCTTGAATCGGTTTCCGAAGAATTGGATCCATCTCAGGGATAACATGAGGGTTGTCATCAGCCATCTGCCATGAAATTAGTGAACATTTGTTATTTCAATGACATTCAGATAAAATAGGGAGATGGAGCACATACAACAAGACTAAAAAGCAGTTACAAAATGGACAAACCAAGATAGCATTGTTTATGTTAATGGCTTGGTTATACAACACTTAAGATTGAAAAGAAATAATTCTTGAGGGCTTGATTGATCCCTCTCACAATCTTCTATTTATAAGAATAAATTGATACACAATATAATCATGATAAACAAGGTAACCCTAGACACAATATAATCATGATAAATAAGGTAACCTTAGACACAATATAATCATGATAAATAGGGTAATCCTAGACACAATATAATCATGATAAATAGGGTAATCCTAGACACAATATAATCATGATAAATAGGGTAACCCTTGACACACTATAATGATGATAAAATAGGATAAATATCCTAACAACAATCTAAATTTCACAAAAAATATCTCCTTTTTAGTTTTCCCTTCTGTATTATAGCCCAGAAGTCTGGTTTCAGTTTGAGTGTGGGTTCGGTATTATTACCATTGGCCTGTCCTTGGTACATGAGGCTAATATAGAAAGGCGAAATGAGGAGAGTTTCTGATCAATCTGTTTGGTTTATAGGAGGTTCCTGAGAACGTAGGGAGTTACAAATTTCTATTTCCCTACTTACCCTCATCCACTTTTTGTTTTCTATTAATATTATTTTTATAAAACATTTTCACTGCATACTTTATTTATTTATTTTTAATTTATATTTTCTTTTTTCATTTTTTTTGCAATCAAACAAAGAGATTTTTACTTTTTCTTCACTTTCTTTCCTATTTAGCTCAGCATAAAAAATATACATATTTACTCAGATCCTATCTATCCATTTTTTTTTTCAATTTCCTATCTTTCCATTTTCTTTCTCAAAACAAAGTATCCCTTACATACATTGTAACTATGCACAATGAGTATTTATAGGGTAAACATAACACAATAAGAAGATGCATACTGATAAGAACCTTGAGAGATCCACAGCACAAAAGTTAGTCATTATAGTTGAAAGCCCAAGGACTTGTCAACAAAAACTAGAATCCCATGCCTCCAATATAAAACTTAAGTCTCATACCTTGCAATTGAATCTTACATATTAACTTTTATATCACAGTGTAACTTATTTCAAGTTCACGTATCAATCTCAAAGCACACCATATAAATAATAGTATGCACTAGAACCACCACTATGTTTGTCATCAATTACATCAACCAACACATCTAAGTGCAGACATTCAAGTGCAGGGCAAACAATGGCAAAAGTTGGCAAGCAGATTCCCATTCAATAAGATGGGACAAAAACTCAAAAAGTATTCGCATAATATATTAGACTATAGATTCACAAAAAAAAACCTGAAGAAAGCGTTCCAATCTTGCACTTGAATGCTCTGGACCCTGGCCATCATAACCATGAGGAAGTAACACAACAAGGCCAGTCTGACGGAGCCACTTAGCCTCACCAGAAGCCAAGAAATTGTCAAATATCACATGGGCACCATTAGCAAAATCACCAAACTGAGCCTCCCAAATTATCAATGAATTGGGATTTTCCATTGAGTAACCCAATTCAAATCCAAGAACACCAAACTCAGAAAGAGAGCTGCATAGTTTTTTTTAAAAAAAAATCTTAGATAAGAACCAAAAACTGTAAATTATAAATCATGGATTAAAATTTTTTCTGTTTGTAACTCTTAACAGGGTTTCAATGTATCAGGTGGATTATACTGCCATTTTTATAATATTTTAAGATTCAATCTTGACACCCAGAAGGCACACAACAAGTGTTTAACACTTGAAGAACAAATTCATGAATACAAAGCACATTAGATGTTATAAAACTAAGTATATTGACAAAAAAACAGTCCAAAAAAATTGTTGATGGTTTACAAAAAAATTCCAATTTATTAAATACAATATATGGAATACGACCCACATTCTCTACATCACTTTTTTTATTAATCAATTCAAACAAAAATTCAATACAGCGCACAAAAATCAAGCTACAAATCAAAATAAACTAATATAGGGAGGATGGGGCGAGGGTTGAAAGCAATACATATTATACAACTATAATTCAGTGACTAAGATCAATCAATGAAACAAAATTAGAAAGCGGATCAACAAGGCACCGCAAAAATAGATTTGGAAGTTTGAAACATCCATAACATCCGACCATTACCAAGTTAACTGTAACGTATTAATCAAAAAATGAGAAGCTTAAGCCTCATGGATGACTAAGGCAGAAGTAAAAAGCAGAAAGAGGCAAGACAATTAATTATATGTAAATAGAAGAAATATTACCTATTGCTAACAGTAAACATCTCTTCATCTTGGTTCATTATAACATGGTCAAGGGGACAATATTTATCCCCTGTTTTCTGATCGTGAACCACAGCATGCCGGTGACTAAAAGTTCCTCTTTCAACATCCTGACCACTTAATCGAACATGGTTGCCTTCAATAAGCAAGGTGGCATAGGCAAGTGCCTCAGCAAATCCCCAGTCAATATCTTCCCCAGTTTCAATCATTTGAGCTCGTTGTTCATAAATCCTCTTCACAGCTTTATGAGGTGTGAAATTTTCAGGGATGGTCGTGATTGCTTTCCCAACATTTTTCAAGATCTCTGGTTTCACACTGCATGGGATAGACCAGCCTTCAGCATTTTAGTTAAAAAATGAAAAAAACATTAGAACATAAAGAATATAAATTTGTTGTACCCAGTGTTTCGGATACGTGAAAGCTGTTCAGGGGACTTGAAACCAAGCCAATATGCTGAAAGCCAATCTCTTCTTTTTGGAATGTATTCTTTGCTAGCCAAAAATTCTTCATTTAGAATGGATGTGACCTTCTTGTGTATCTTATCAATTTCTTCTTGTGACAGCTCCCCTGATTCCAAAAGCTTCTTCTCATATATCTCAAGAGTTGATGGATGGCTTCGGATTACCTATAAACCCCCAAAAGTTGCAAATTGATTAGCTAGTATAAAAGCAATATGCACACAAAAAGAAGAAAAAAAAACAAAAGGGCGAACCTTGTACATCTTAGGCTGAGTGAATGATGGTTCATCAATCTCATTGTGGCCAAATCGACGATAACACACCAAGTCGACAACCACATCAGAGTGGAAAGTCTGGCGCCACTCAGCAGCAAGTTCACAGGCATGAACAACTGCTTCCACATCATCACCATTCACATGAAAGATGGGAGCATCCAAAGCTTTGGCAACATCAGTGCAATACTGTGAAGACCTGCCAGACGTTGGATCAGTTGTAAATGCAACCTGGTTGTTAAACACAATGTGAATAGTCCCACCAGTGGTGTAATTTGGAAGAGCACTTAAATGCAGAGTTTCATAGACCACACCCTGTCCAGCAAAACTTCCATCTCCATGAATCAACACACCCATGTTCTTGGTTCTATCCAAATCATTTGAGTAATACTGCTTGGCACGAGTTTTCCCAACAACAACTGGATTCACAGCTTCCAAGTGACTAGGATTTGCCACCAAAGACAAATGAATCCTCTTGCCACCCCGAGTAGGCCGATCGTACGAAGTCCCCAAGTGATACTTAACATCACCAGTTCCAGTGTAGAGTCCAACTTCACCCTCAGGCTGAAGACCACCGCTAAATTCGCAGAAAATCTGTCTCAGCGGCTTCCTAACCACATTTCCCAAAACATTCAGCCTCCCCCTATGTGCCATACCAATAACTATGCTCTCTACCCCAAGATCAGATGCTCTATCAAACATTTCCTTCATTCCAGGAATAAGAGTCTCTCCACCCTCAAGTCCAAACCTCTTTGCAGAGGTCCACTTGGTGGCTAAGAAGTTCTCAAACAAAGAGCTCCAAGCAAGCCTATCAAAGATAGCCTCGCGCCTCTCCCTATTAAACTGTGTATGGGTGGGGGTTTCAATCTTGTCCCTAAGCCAATTACACTTATGACGATCTGCAATGTGCATATACTCATATCCAATGCTTCCACAATATGCTTGTTCAAGCCTTGTCAAAATGGATCTAAGGGTTTGGACGGGGCGGTTCTCGGACAAGAAACCAGCCATCCTCCACACACCCAAGAAGAATTCCCTATCAAGATCAGCCTCAGTGAAGCCATAGAGTGCAGGGTCCAAATCCTCAGGAATTTCCCTTGTTTCCAGATTCAAGGGATCCAGCTTGGCCTTCATGTGGCCATTAACTTGGTACGCCCTCACCAGCAACAACAATCTCATACTCTCCTGAATTGTCTGACCAGAAATCCCAGGTGAGGTTGAGGCTTGCCCCACAAAGTTCCTGAAGAAATTATCCCAGGACTCATCAACACTGTTGGGGTCAGCCTCCCAAGCCCTTTGAAGCTCTTCCAAATACACACTGCTTGTGCCATCTAAGAAACTATCAGTTAACTTCGAAAGAGGAACCGCTCGTGGAATAGGTGCAGCTTGTGCCTTTGATTTGAAAACCGTACTGTGGAAGCTTCTGCCATGTGATGATGTTGACGACGATGGAAGGACCCTTGCCCTTGATACAAGATATGTGGATCCACCCTTCGAAAGGGTTCTCCTGATTGCATGTTTTGCTATGCTTGTTCCAGCTTTAAACCAAGCCATGCTTGATGATAACGCCTTTCACTATCACCGATACGATTCTATCCTCAACACATCTGTGACAACCATACATACCCAGAAAACAGTTAAGCCAAAAATTATTTTTTTAAATAAAATTAGAAGGAAATAAGAATACCCAGAAAGAAAAATGCGGTTTGCATGAGAATTTACATGGGATCGAGTGTAGGACGAGAAAGGGTTCAATTGTGCTGTGAATGATTGGAGTGTCGAAAATGGATAAATATTAGGGAAATTGAAAGAGAAGAAGCCCTAGTTGCGTTGATGCAAAGCGAGTGAGAGAGGATTCAGGGTGTCTTGCTATTTTGTTGGGAGATTGGAAAATTCAACGCTTTGAATAGATTTAGGTTTCTTCTGTCACGTTGGCTGCGAATTCTCAATAGTACGAGTGAATGTGCCTTGTGTCCCTTTCTTTCTTTTCTCTCCTTTTCTAATTTTCATGCTCCTTATTACATTCTTCTACTTCATTATCAAATATATTTTATATTATTACCATTTATTATTATTTGCAGCTGAAAAAGACTTTATTCGAAAAAATTTATTGTAAAACTAATTTTAAAATGATTAATTTTGTTTGAATATTAAAAGTAAGTTTTATATAAAAAGACTATATAAAATTATTTTTAAATGATCATAAATTAAAATTCTTTAGATTCATGAACAAAATTCGTTTTCAGAAAAAAAAAATATTTTTATTCAAACCCAGTTGATACCTAAAATAAATGAAATTGAAAAATAAAAATAAAAATAAAAATAACTATCATGGAGAAACATATGTTTAAATGGTGTTGTGATAACAGATTATTTTATTCTACAAATAGTTCATTTGAAAATATTTTAATTGATTTTAGCAATATTTCAATTCAAGTAACCTAACCGTATTTGATCAGAAGAATATTTTTTGAAGTCAAACTAATTTAATGAATTACTAATATTCAATTTCAGGTTAATTTATTACTAACATTTTCATAGTGACGTTGAATCATTTATTTTATTTATTTTCTCAGCTTCTCTCTTGACGTAATCCTTTTTTTCCTTAATCCACTTGTTACTTTCTCTTTTACATCTTTAATTGATTTTAACATATTTTATTCTCTTATTATTTCTTATGGATTTTTATTTTTTTAGCTATTCTTTCTAGCTTCCCTCTACTAATTCTTATTATATTGTCTTGATTTTTAATATTGATTTCTTTTAGTTTGTTGGAATCAAATCTAAATTTAAAATCATCTATTGACATCCTAACAAGTGTTTTATGTTTATTTTGCACTTATTTTTATTTTGCCAATTGTTCTTGTTAAAAAGAAATCTCTAAAGATTAATGGGAAATCTTGAAATAATCCATTTTACCAACAGTTTTTTATTTACCACACAATGTTGAATTCTCCACACTGAAATTATTAAAGGAGAAATTTATGTTTTATTTAAAGATCTTATTGCAATTTTTTAAAAATAAAGTAATGCATTATATAATAAATTTAAAAACACATACTACATAATAGTATAAAAAAAATTACAATTACTAGTGGGTTTATTTGAATTATCCAAACTTATTTTCTGTCAATTATTTAAAAATAATAATAATCACCTCAAATTTCCTAATTTCTTCATTGTATCTTTTATTCTAAAGATACTTTTGAAAGCCTTGCACCAGTGATCCAAACATTCACTAAGACAAGCATGACTGTTTGGAACATTATTTGCAACAGATAGAATTATTTCTAATAATCAATCTCAATCCAATCGAAGGATAATTTCTTTAAGAGTACAAATGAAAGAGAGTCGAGTAAATGAACTAATCACAACAAATCCAACAACTAAGTAACTGAAACTTTAAAACACTAACTTCAAAACACAATCTTTGCAGTTGGGAAATACAAGGACAAATACATGCTCCCACTTCTAAACTCACCAGAATAACTATAGCACCCATATAAGGGCAAATGTTGATTGAATCTGCACCCTCTAACCCAAGATTCAATTTTTTTCATGAACCACAGCAAGCAGATTTTTGAGCAGCTAGACCCCCGCCGGCAGCCTCTGGTTGGTTAATCTTGATAGTCTGAGGCTGAACCACAAACAAGATACTATCATCATTCAGGATTAAGAAAGAAACAACAATTCCATGCACTTTATTCAAAAGTTAGAATTCAAACTCCCCTAGATATTTCAATGGTGAGATGAGTTTAGAAAAACAAGAATTTGATGATGGAAATCTGTCTTTCAGAAAAGAATAAAAATTGTGTTAAAATGAAAGACAAAAATGTAAAATACCTCGGACTTAGAATCTGTGTCGGCAAGCCTTTGCTTAATATCTCTTGCTATTGAAAAGAAAACCTCTTCCACATTCATGTTTGTCTTTGCACTCTGCAAGAGATCTCCCAATATAAATATAATGAAGTCAAATATTTTATTACGTGAAAATGTTATTATCAAACAAGCTCAACTCACGGTTTCAAAAAACTTGATACCATACTCATCAGCAAGAGCTTGACCTTTGGAGGTAGGCACGGCCTAGAGGAGAAAAAAGACCATTTGTTGGAATACATGGAATATAGACAACATTAAATTAAAGAGATAAACACATAGAATGTTCAATGTCATAGCACTATAGCAGGGAACAAATTTGGCTTGAGCAGAGCCAATCATATATCATCTGCTCCAGCCAATCAAGTTGTTAGATTAGAAGTAGATAGAAAAGGAGCCTCCGAGGTACACACCCTTTTACTTTCATCCATATCAGCCTTGTTGCCCACAAGTATCTTGTTTACATTGTCAGAAGCATGTTGTTCAATGTTGCGAATCCAATTCCTAATATCTTAACAGATAGAAGAAAGATATATTAAAAATGAAAGGAATGAAAAATGGAAAAAGAAACTTAACCATGAAAAAGAATAATTTGTCCTCATAATTCAACCTAAACAATGAGAAAGACAGTCCAAGTGAACAAGAGAATGGGGGAAGAGGGGAGAGAAGAAAACACATTTTGAAGGGTCAGCTGCAGCTTAAAAGTAGTATATGTGAAATATTCTCATTCGTATACTGGTCCATAAATAAGTACACAAAAATATCAGAAGAATTTGAATGTGAAGGATATTACTGTTGAAAGATGCCTCATCAGTGACATCATAAACGAGCAAAATGCCCATGGCTCCACGGTAATAAGCTGCAAAATCAAGTAGCATTGTATGAAATTTTTCTTTCATAAAAAATATGAAGGATGAAATTAAAATAGGACATTCATCCAAACTCAAATGACAGTAAATTCTGATCAAATTTATTAGGCAAATAAGTCAACCAGGCTATTAAACTAAAGTACTCTGCCTTCTATTTATGCACAAAGGAAGGTCACGTTGACTTTAACTTTATAGGTTACGAAATGCCACTAAACTTCTATGCCTCCTTTATATAAACTGAAATTGAAATGTGTTTAAGCTTCAAACATATTCAATTAGCCAGGTTGCAAAAGTCAAAACAAATACCTGTGGTAATAGTTCGAAATCTTTCCTGACCAGCTGTATCCCAGATTTGTAACTTAATGCGTTTGCCATCAAGTTCAATGGTTCTTATCTTAAAATCAATGCTGCCAAATTCGTACATAACATGGTTTTATCCATCAACAAAAAAATATATTAGCTTCCGTGAAATAGAGAGTTCGCAGATAATAAGCTAGACTAAATTGATACCCCTGACATTAGAGAATGGTGTACTAATAAGTATGATGTTCGATAAGTATGACATGCAGCATGAAGTCTAGACGTTTCATTATAAGTGAATTGGGACAAATATTCCAGGAAGTCTTATTAATTAATTGGAAGACAATATAGTCAAATAGGACAATATTGTAGGCAGCTTTATTAATTACTTGGACTAAAATATTGTCACTGCCGATTGGAACATTGATACAAGACTCTCAGATAACACATGACAGTAACCAGCAGATCCTACAGCATTTTCACAAGAATAAGAATAAACCAGCAGATACTAACCCAATGGTGGTGATAAAGCTGGTCGTGAAGGAACCATCAGAAAAACGCAAAAGCAGACAACTTTTCCCCACACCTGCAATTGTTACAAGATAGCTATCAAAAGAAGATAAAATGTTCGAGTGAAATACAAAAAAGACAAACAAGACACCAGATCTATATGCACACAATCAAATGCATAAATACATAAAAACAAACTTCAATATGCATATTTGTATATTTCGAGTTCATTGTTCAAATATATTTTATATTTTGGAGAGACTATAATATTGAATGGACCTTCACTTGTGGGATGTTGCACTTTGCACACTGATCAATCTGCTTTCGTACACTTTCACTTTTTAAAATACTAAAAAAATTAAAAATTTTAACATTCCAAAATAACTACCACCGACCAGATTTCAAGAATTTTTAGATTTAAACTGTAAACCTATTATTATAAAAATCATTCGTCAGCCATACTATAGTCTGCATGCTACCCATTACCACATCAAGCATATCATTTATAAATAAAACATATATTATTGGAACCCCTTCTTTCTCCATATTCTTCCACAAAGTTTCTCAGACCACCCTAAAACAACGTCAGTTTTTCTATATCAATGATGCAGGCCTTCTTGTTTCATTATGTATAATTAAATTAAATCCAACAACAGGCATATAACCTCTGCGATTGAGTTTCCTGGCATAAAACCAAACTAATATAGAAGTGTGTCGTCTTTAAACATTATTTAGGACTATCTCATTGGACAACTTTGGACCTGTTAGATATACTCCTCCATGAGCACATGTAGAAGAAAAAAACAAAATAAAATTCCAGAAATTAAAATCAACTAATGCACTGAAAACTCATTTAACTTCTACAGAAACTGATTTTAACTTACCTTAAGTTATTTTTAACTTAGGGAAAAACTTACTTCATTTTAACTGTTCTCATAAGTGTTTTATATGCATATCAAGCTATAACTTTACTTCGTACACACTTGCAAAACTTCACTGCCTATATCATCAAGTGCCATCGCTTTTTCTTAGATATTGTCAAATATAGCAATCACGTGTCAAAAGAAATGATGCTTCAAGCTCTCAACAACATAAGCCCACATCACATTTAACAACCAAATTCCGAAATAAACAAACAAGAAGCTTAACCATACAACAGCTTTCAATCCAAGTAAAAACACAATCATAATTCAAAACCAGCAATGAAGCATCTCCAAAACAACCCACCACCAACCCTTTGGCTCTAGAAACAAAACACCCAAACCCCACAAAAAAAAAGGAAAAAAAAAAACACTAAGATCTGAAATCTGATATAAACCCATTTTGTTGTTTTCTTAATTTTACAGAGACAGAGAGAGAAAGGGAAGGCACGATATAACTAACCGCTGTCGCCAATAAGAAGAAGCTTGATGAGGTAATCGTAATCGGCACGTGCCCTCGCAGGTGGTGCTGCCATCGGTGACCACACGATAACAACAACAACACACGCAAATTCACTCAAAAAGATCCTCTCTTTCTCTCACTCTCTTTCTCTTTGTGGAGATAACTGTCGAGAAAACGAAAAGGGTATGCGAGATCGAAGAGAGGATCCAAATGGGTTTGGTTGTGTTGTGTTGTTCTGCTTTTGGTTTTGGTTTTGGTTTTGAGAGAGTTTTGGGTTTCTTTTCTTTGTTTCTTTCTCTCCGCGTATGCTGCGTGGCCCTCTCTCTCTCTACACTGTCACAGTTTCCGTTAACCTTAAAAAAAAATAATTATTTGTATTTGTATTTTGTAATTTAAGTTTTTAATGAACCTGTGTCCAAGCTAAACACACAGATGGAAATAATAATAATTTTTGAAAATATTTGGATAATTAGCAGTGCTAATAATTGAACTTGTCAACCATCATTAACAACTGATAATGTTGATTCCAATTGCCAATGGTGACCAAGCTTGTTGTTACTAATTAGATTAGATTAGGAAAATAATTTGGCAAATGGTAAAATAATAATTGTCATGGATAGTGACGTGGATTGATTGATTATGTGATGAAAAAGACTAATTAATCTAAACATGACAAAGTAAACATAATATAAAAATGTGAAAATATAAATCAAACAATATTTTTCAAAAGTCAATTTTAGATGAGAGTTCTTCTTTCTAGAAAAAAAAATGATCAGAGAAAGTGTTTCTTCTTTTTTACATAAAACATGTTAATGAGTTATTAGAATTCCCATTAAATAGTAATTTAATAAGTTTTTCTCTTGCATCTTGTTTGTTCATTGAGAATAATAAATAAAGAGAATTGAAGTACACTTCTAAAATTCAATAAAGCCCAATAATTGCAACAAAGATAAGAATCAATCACGGAGTTGTTTTCTCACAAGACGTTGTCTGCTTTTCATTTTGTCAAAAATATTCCTTTTAAAATTATTTCTGAAAATGTAGTTTTTTCTGCTGTTTAATTTTTAGAATGATAAAATTACATCATGAAAAGTAACTTTCAGAATATATTTTTTCATTATTTATATATTCCAAAATATAATTTTAAGGTTCGGAAAAGTAAATTGGAAAATATGTTCACACAACGAAAGTGTTTCAACAATTACATTGATGTTTAGATACTTTCTAATAAACATGTTTTTTGGTCCAAAGAAACACAGTACTTGTGCTTATTTGAAAGTTGTCATCTTCCTTTAACTTTTTTTTATGCAGACAAAGTGTTTAAAAGAATATGTTGTTAGTATTTTTCTGTAATTTGAAACATAAATAAACGTGCCATAGAAAAAACTATGCCATAAAACAAGTTTCCATGTCTTGTGGCATCAAATTAATCAAAAGAATGATGAGCATTCCTTCATTGATATTTGCAACAATGAAGGAGTAACAAGTTGAAGAGATGATATCACATTCATACACGACAAGAATCATATTCTAAGACTTCGAAAACTTTTAGTTGAACAGCACTTTAAAAATGCAAATGAAAGAATAGTTAGGTTCAGTTTTATGATGTTGTACATGAGTTTAAATCAGACTAGGTTTAGAACATTTACACATGGCAAAATGGTACCCTATTTCATTTATGGAATTCGGATTTGATGATTCAAACTCAGATTATTGTGAAAAATCAATTTACACCCCCCAAGTTACATTTACTTTTAAAATATTTTACAGAAAATAAGGGAAGCAAAAAATACCTCAGAAAACCAGACTCGGTATCACTTTAATACAGGAAACAGACTGAACTGAGTGCAAGAGCATCATCACTATACATATTTCAATTCTTTGGTGAAATGATTATGTTAGAAATATTATATCTTTTATGTTTCAGTTTATCTTTCAGTTAGTTTGTTATTATTTATTATTTGTATTTTGGGCTTAGCCCATATTTTTTCTATTATAAATAGAGAACTCTATGTGTGTTCAACACAAGGAAGATTAATTCCATATATAATTTTCATTATGTTTAACAGATTATTGGTAAATATTTGAAAAGATTATTGGTTTATATTTTTACACACTCGTGATTTATTATATATTTGTACTAATATCAGAAAGACTTAAATTATTTACTGATGGCAACCCCATTGAACACTAGAGAGGAGTTAAATCCCAAGGTGCACATATCTGGAGCAAGAAGTTGGGTTGTTGGGACTAATTACAGGCCTTCCATTCCACCATGTTTTCATGTTTTCCCGTTTCAAAAATTTTGAAAAGGGAACAATAGAACTGTCTTTTTTATTTGTTTTCACTTTTGGTTCTAATCTAGAAAATTGAAAACGAACGTATTCCTTTGAAAATGCTGAAGTGAACGTGCCCTTCAGTCTCAACGACAAAAATGTAAGGAAGTATCAGCTCTTGTAGATATATATGAGCAGAGACAACTACATTCTAAAGCAGCAATTGATTATCAAAATGTTAATGTTGTCTGTGATGATATTTAGGAAAAGGTACTCACAAGATTCCAAAATCAGTTGGTATGTGATAAAACTAGCAAGAACAAAACTTCTATGGTGAACTGCCAGCTAACTCGGATTCTAGTTTGAGGTTGAGCCATTCTTCTTACCAATAGTCGCGGCATGAACACAAACCATCCTTAAAATGATGAAACCGATTTGCATCCCTCACAATTATTTCCCTTTCAACAAGCTTTGATATAAGCTTTATTGCAGAGTGACAGTTCACACATGCTCGAAGATTCTTTGTTATTCGAAGTGTAGTTCCAGGAGCAGTACTAATAAGCCCATAAGCAACGGCTATCCTCTCACTATGAAAACTAAGATTCTCTTCCTTCTCTTCGTAATTCAGATCATGCAAAACCGATTCTGTATGTGGAACAAACCCCATCTCCTTCAACCTTCGTTCTAATATCTGAAGCTCATTGAATATTTCATTAGCCATTGGGTGTGACATGTCACCCACATGAAATGCCTGCAGCTTCCCATTTATTTCAATTACACTATAGCCAAGGTCCTTATTCAGTCCTCTCTCCTTCATTAGAACTCGAATATGTGCAACACGATCCCATAAGCGGGAGGAAGCATATAGATTAGAGAGTTGTACATAATGCCCTGTATTATATGGATCCAATGAGAATAGCTTCTTTGCAGCATATTCTCCCAATGTTACACAACGATGGATCTTGCATGCACTCAGAAGTGCTCCCCATACACTTACGCCAGGTTCAATGGGCATTTTCATTATAAATGCACAAGCCTGACCCAGATAACCTGCTCGTCCCAAGAGATCAACAACACAAGAATAATGCTCATTGCGAGGCTCAATCTCAAAGTCTTTCATGGAATGGAATAGCTTCCACCCCTCTTTTAGGAGGCCAGAATGATTGCAAGCATTGAGAAGCCCAACAAAGGTAACATCATTTGGGAATACACTCGCTTGCTTCATTGTAGTGTAAAGATTAATGGCTTCCCATCCTTGACCATGCAAGCCATATCCCATAATCATGGCACTCCACATAACAACATCCTTATCTGAGTTACGATCAAATACCATGCGAGCAGATTCTACACTTCCACATTTTGCATACATATCAATGAGGGCGGTATTAACAAAAATGCAACTTCCAAAGTTACTGTTGCTCACATAATCATCCATCCATTGTGCTAATTTGAGGGAACCAAGATGTGCACTAGCTAAAACTGCAGATCTCACAGTGACAGAATCTGGTTTAATATTTCTTGAGATCATGTCACGAAATAGGTGCACCGCTTCCTCAGCATGGCCATTCTTTGCATAGCCAGATATCATTGCGTTCCACATAATCAAATTTGGTGTCTTCATTTGATCAAAGAAAGATCTTGCAACCATCACCATCCCACATTTAGCATATAAAGCAGTAAGCGAGATAAGCAAATCAGGCTCGTCTTCAAGACCTATCTTGATGATACAACCATGAAGAGATCTCCCTTGCTCCAAATCATCTACATCGGTATAAGCCCTCAGAATGCTTACCAGAGCAATCCAATCTGGTTTCACATCAGCATTTCTCATCTGACTGAACATTCGCAATGCTTCCATAGATTCCCCGTTCTGCGCATATCCAGAAATGATGGAAGTCCATGAAACAATCGTTCTATGGTATAACCCATCAAACACCACTTTTGCCACACTAACACGACCACATTTAGCATACAGTGCCACAAGGCCATTCTGCACAAACACATCCGACCCAAATCCATATCTGATTATCTGTCCATGAATTAGGCAACTCAAACCAAAATCCAATAACTCAGTACAAGCTTTAAGTACATAAGGAAAAGTGAATCCATCTGGATGGACTCCAGTCAATCTCATCCACCTGTACATATCAATGGTGTCCCTGAACATATTGTTCCTCGAATAACTCCTAATGATAGCATTCCACATAAAAACGTCAGGGAAGCAAAATCCATCAAACAGCTTGCGAGCATAACAAATCTGCGCAAGATTCGAGCTCCCATTAACCAGTTTTGTCATGAGAAACCCATTATGTTGCAGCCCCGAGACAAGTAACCGGCTATGTATCTGATCAAGGTGTCTCTTGTGCGTAGAATTATCAATAAGAGAGGCATAAAAAGAGTCTGAATTGACACTACGATCACGGTTAATAAAATGTTCAAGATAAATAGCTGATGAAGAACAAATATATTTGACACCCTTGAGCACCAAGCATGTGGGTATTTCAGAAGTTGTAACCTTTCGGTATTTTGTAGTAAGGGGAGATAAGCTAAAGAAATTCCAAGCCATAGTACTGCATCCATCATCTTTCAATGTATGTTTGCAAATTCTAAACTCATATCAACAGATGCACTTCAATCAGACAAATGATGATCTAACCAATTCAGTTTCTCATTTCAAGCTTCCAGCCTATTGAAGCTCGATTTAGTCCTGATTTCTCTGTCCAGCCTAAATTGGAGCACACAGAACAGAAGCATTTAATCAAACACCTAGGCTACGTTAACAGTGGAGATAAGTGACAACAGAAATTGTTGAAGCATTTAGTCGAACACGTAGGCTATGTATTGGTTGTCTCTGTGTCTGCATATAAAAAAAGTAAACACTAATAAATGATTTATACATACCACAAATTTTCAAACACTCATACGCATAAAGATTTTAATGGAAGTCTCATGTAAACACACACAGATATGCTAAACGGAAGGGAACTTTTTGTAGTGAAATGATACTTTGTGGAAGGTGCCCTATTATTTTTTGGTACCCTTTAATTAAATACGAATGACTACAATAAAAAATATAAAACACTTGATAATGAGACACATATATAAGGTATAAATAATTTATAAAGAAAACAAACAATTTATTTCATGATCAAATTTTAATTTGTCAATTAATTTATAAAACTTCTTTTATACAACTTTTTTAGTTTGTTAATTTAAACTTAGATATAAATTAATTTTAACTTAGTTTTCATATTTTTTTTAATTAGTCAAAACCTACTTTTAATGTATTAAGCAAGCTGTTTGCATTTAATTACTTTCCTATTCTTACTCCAAAAGTTATAATTAATATATGTTTTGAGGTATTTAGATGAACTTTTTTATAAATTCACTTTGAAAAAATTTAACTTTTGTATAACCTAACTTAGTTTATACAAAAACTAGTTTTAATTTTATAAAAGAAGTTAAATTTATGTTTCCTTCTTATCTTTTTGTCTTTAAAATGATTCATGGAAAAACCTATATAGCACTTACTTTCACCAATTCTTAACCTGGCATGGACCTTCTCTATTCTTTTCATTCAATAAAACCATGCTTTCCTAAATAAATACATTCCTTTACTTCACTCCAAAAACCAAATTTCTTTCAGTTCCATTAATTTTCTACCTTCTCTCATCATCATCATCATCTTCAAGTCCAAATTTTTTTAAGACTAATTACCTCTTAAGTGCTTCAATTCTTTAAGCATCCTCTTCAGTTCAGCTTTTCAGTAGGGGTGGGCAAAGTGCACTATATTGTCCTGTACTATAAAAATTGATAGTTAACTATAAAACAGTTCAGGAAAACTGAACTGAACCAGAAAATAGTTCAGAGTAACTGAACTGAATTGTTTTTTAGTTCAGTTATAGTGTAGTGCAGTTCAGTGAACCATTTTTCAGTTAATTATAGTGCAGTTCAGTTAACTATAATGCAGTTTGCTGTTACAGGGTCTCTTAAAAGAATTTCTAAGCTCTTTGATTCAAGAAAATCTAATAATTCTGATAAGATTTCGCCAATATTTTTATAACTTTCCGAAGGAAGAAACTGGTTCCAAAATAAAAAAATCCTATTTCAAATTCATTTGTTAATAAAATCTTAACTTAAATTTTGTGTTTCTGCATTGTACACAGCCACAATAATTATGCTTTTAAGGGTGAAACCTAAAAGGAATACAAACATACTCTTCCTTCAATGAAGTCTTGAGTGCCAATGTTAACCACTGTACATTCAATTGCTTTAGCAGAGTTGAGGCAAAGTGTGTGATTTTCATTCCTTTCCCATGGATTGAGTATTCTTTTTGTATTGATTGCTCGTTCATCAATGGTCCTTGGAACTGCCACATTGATAAGCTTGCTGCAACAACATATAACTTGTTTTTAAAGCAAAATTTCCATGAACAGTTAAACTGGTAAAGCAAGTGAGAATATGTGCAGTACCATCATCAGGTTCTGACGCAACAGAAAACATTAGTTCAAAGTAATTTTCTTTCCTTTTTATCATTTCAGTGATATTGAATAGATTTAAGATTGAAACCATGAAAATAGATATGGTCGGGATAAAAAAACAAAAGGGAATAAGGTGATGCATAGTGCAGATACAGAATTAAAAAAGAAACCACAAGATCCGTCACCCTGAAAAGATGATTAGCAAATGAAAATGACAAAATAAAGCTCACCTTAAGAAACAATTCACCTTAAGATCCACAACCTTCAACCTTGACATCTTAGAAAGCCAAATCCGCAATGACAAGCCTCCCACTCTCCCTCATGCTCATGAACTACACAAACACACAATATTGAGTGACTCCACAAAATCACAATGAAAAAAAAAATAAAGATAATTAAAAATTTTCAGTAGAAATAATATTGATTAGCAACTATGGTGGTAATGTGAAAGTCTTAACGAGAAAACAGCTAACATTATAATGACATTGTGAGTATATATGGTCATGATAAAAGAAATCGCGTTGTTGAGTTGGTAAGGTTAATTCCGAAATGGCTTGGTTATTTAGTGGCATGCATCCAACAAAGAAGCACTCACGCTCAAATGTGTTCATACAAACATCAATCAATCAAAATGGGAAAAATAGTCAAGACACAAACGAAAGAGCTTCCTCATCTTCCTTTTCTCACCCTTATTAACTATGTAGGAATGAATCAGACTTATTGAGTGTTACCCTTTTAACTGTATACAGTTTCACTAGCTCAATGTCAAAACATAGTCTGTAGTCGAAAGCACAAAGGCCAGAGGAAAAGATAATATATGTAATCATAAGTAGTAATTATTAAAAGCATTACGTTTTCTTCTGTCAGAGGCAATCCCTGAAGCTTAATCTTTCTTTTTATGTGATCTTGTCAAAACAGCCATAAGCCTAACTTGTTAGACTGAAAAAAGAGTATTTATGAATGATTTGGACTTTTAAAGGCTTGTTGAAAGTGGCCCCAGAAGCCAGTTCGATCTTGTATATTTTATACATCTATTTGTTTATACATAGGGTGAACATAAGTAAATACGTTTCTTAATCAAGTTTAGTTATTACAATATGCAATGGTGAACAGTAGCATTGTAGTACAATAATTGTGTGTGCCTAATGTTAAATTAGTACAGTAGTAGAAGACATCAAACTTATTATTAGTGTTTCTGTCAAATATAAATGATGAGAAACTATATTTTAAATCAGGGCAATATCACCAAGGCAAACATATAAATAAAACCTAAAACAGAAAAATCCATAAGCAGACGAGATCACTCTCTCGTGGGCATATCAACAAACATGTAGAGATCATAAGTTTGAGAAAACCTAACCCAATGCAAATGATGAGTCAACTCCTACNCTCAAATGTGTTCATACAAACATCAATCAATCAAAATGGGAAAAATAGTCAAGACACAAACGAAAGAGCTTCCTCATCTTCCTTTTCTCACCCTTATTAACTATGTAGGAATGAATCAGACTTATTGAGTGTTACCCTTTTAACTGTATACAGTTTCACTAGCTCAATGTCAAAACATAGTCTGTAGTCGAAAGCACAAAGGCCAGAGGAAAAGATAATATATGTAATCATAAGTAGTAATTATTAAAAGCATTACGTTTTCTTCTGTCAGAGGCAATCCCTGAAGCTTAATCTTTCTTTTTATGTGATCTTGTCAAAACAGCCATAAGCCTAACTTGTTAGACTGAAAAAAGAGTATTTATGAATGATTTGGACTTTTAAAGGCTTGTTGAAAGTGGCCCCAGAAGCCAGTTCGATCTTGTATATTTTATACATCTATTTGTTTATACAGAGGGTGAACATAAGTAAATACGTTTCTTAATCAAGTTTAGTTATTACAATATGCAATGGTGAACAGTAGCATTGTAGTACAATAATTGTGTGTGCCTAATGTTAAATTAGTACAGTAGTAGAAGACATCAAACTTATTATTAGTGTTTCTGTCAAATATAAATGATGAGAAACTATATTTTAAATCAGGGCAATATCACCAAGGCAAACATATAAATAAAACCTAAAACAGAAAAATCCATAAGCAGACGAGATCACTCTCTCGTGGGCATATCAACAAACATGTAGAGATCATAAGTTTGAGAAAACCTAACCCAATGCAAATGATGAGTCAACTCCTACTAGAAAAAGATTTCAAAAGTGCTAGCAAGCTTTAAGGCTTGTCGATCAGCGGAAGGAACGCTTGAAGGGAACACCCACCTTGAATCTGAAAAAGGGAGATCGCTACTCCCACAAGAAGAAAGAAATCAATAAGCATAAAAGTTATAAATTTGTTAATAACAGGAGAGAGTGAAAGACCTGGAGAAGCCATCGACGCTGGAACGAAAAGGGAGCTGAAGAGGAAGCCCCAGAGGACTAATCGAGGGAGATGGAAGGAGGGATGGGTGGCGGTAGGGACGAAGAGGACAGCGGACCTGAACTAATAAAGGGAGATGGGAGGAGGGATGGGTGGCGGCGGAGAGGAAGAGGGCAGCGCGATAGAAAATCTGTGACGGTGGTGATAGAAAAAAAAGTTCTATGGAGAAAGGCACATAGTTCACATAGTTCACATAGTTAACTATAGTTAACTGTACTAAAATAATTAAGGTTCAGTTTTTTTAACCTAAACTATAAATTAACTTAATTAGTTTTTAGTACAAATCAGTTTAGTTTTTTTAAGTATAATACTGTATTTCATGTATCAATTTCTGCAGCATTTTTCATAAGGGTTTGGCTGTTGGATGATTGTATTCTTCATATTTTACTTGGAAACTGTTACAAGATGTCAACATGAGTGTTTCATATATGAACTTTGCTACTTTATGCAGTTTTGTGAATTAATAACTACCAACTTTATTGCATGAGAATTCCAAATGCTGGTATATATACCTATTAAAAGACCTTTTTCTCTTCATCTGCATGGAAGGAAGTTTGAGTGCATGTATGTGTAACTTTCTTGGCTTCAAATTGTTTCAAATTTGAATCCTCCTTTGTGATTAGAAAACAAATCTGTAACATAATCAGCAAGATCACTTTCAGCAATTAAACTCATTATGCAGTGAACACTTGGTGACACAAACTATTTCTCATGTCAAGGCAGCATTATCTCTTCTCAACATAGTCATTTGATTGAACTTCAAACTTTCCTTCTTGATTGATCTGCAGGTTCCAAACATGTCAGAGGCCAGTTCTTATTCCACTGACCTTGAAAATATGAGAAATGCTCTTCTATCATCAGTTTCTTCTAGGCTTCACTCCAATGGTATTGGTAATTAATAATAACACAATGCTATTAATTGAAAAAGTTTTGAACATCTAAACTTATTCCATTGACATTTCTGAATATTTTTTGGTAATTCAGGAAACGATGAAGTTCAGTTAGAGTTTTTAGAGGGCTCCATGCAAATGAACGACCTAACGTAAGTGAATTCATGTAATCCAAACACTATATATCTTGTGCAGTTTGCTTCTTATTGAAGTTCTTATTGTGGATGTGAAACATAAACCAATCAAAGTGAACCAAGGAGGTGTAGAATTCAAATTTGTTCTTTATTTGAGTTTCACCAGGCTTAGCTTACCAGAATTTCAATGTGTAAATTATTACAATGTTTGGAACCATACTTTAATAGTAGTTTACTGAAGACAAATCAACATGATCATTAATATAAAAGCTTAAGAATACCATTATTTTATATAATCAATTTATGGTTTTACTAAATACCAACAATATGATAATAATACAAGAAAATTAAGTAAACCAGACCTGTTCATCTAAGTTGCAATTTTTAGCCAAAACTGGTGGAAATAGCTCACATTTTCATGAAGTTTCTTACAATTTTATCGTATAAAATGCATCCAAAGAATCCTTGACTATTATCAAACTAAGAAATAAAAAAGTAATCAGAATTAATTTTATCACTGAGATATATAAGTAAAAGGGATTTGTTTTGAAAAAAAAATGTGAACATTAAGAAATCTCAGTTTTAGAAATTTATGTGCTGGAAACCCCTTTTACTACTAACAATTTTTCATACAAAAAAATTGCAAATCCTGATTCACTTCTTACCCTTTCTATGTAATACACTTTTTAGTAGTTGAATTGTATTTTTCATTGAAAAGCTCTCATGTAATATTTTTTTTTTTGTAAACTTCTTCCTAAAAGGCTCATAACAGAGAAAAGTGAAATCATCCTTTTCATCAATTAACATTAGCTTATAAGTAAATTAAAAATAAAATTTTGAAGAAGTTAATTTGAAATAACTTTTAAAGTTGAACAGATGCATACACTTTTATTTTTTCTAATATAAATGTTCATGGAAAAGTTTTTTCAGATGTACCCTTTTGAAAGGCTTCTTTTAGGGCATCATTTATTTCATGTTATTGTACAAATAACATGTTTCTTTTCAGTAACTTCCTTTGCAATGGCTTCAACATGGAGTCTAGAATATTCAAAGATGACAGCCAAATGGGTGAAGGAGTCAATACACAGCCTAGCCAGTCTCAGTCTCTGATTTATGACTACAATCATCAACCAGGTTTGGTGCATTTCCTTTTCAATACTAGAGATATTAGGAGCTCCTTTTTCTCTACCTACTATGCTTATTATAACATCACTTTTCCCAGTCCCAATGACAATGTTGAAATATTATTTTGTATCTTAGTGAAAACCATGAAGATTTCTAATAATTGAAGACTAATACTTTGACAGGTAGTCTATATGCCATCCCAAGCATCAAAGACATTTATCATCATTCATTGTTGCATGACAAAGACCCTTCTTCTCAATATGAAAGAGTATGTCTATGTTTGGCCGTTTGTAATTGAATCATCTCAGAAAAAATGGACTTTAACAACATAAATTTCCAACATGTGATTTCTTTTTGAGAAATTATAGTTCATAGTAAGGGCCAAGTTTGATTAAAAATCCCTGACTCAAATCGATTGCTGTTTGTAATGAAAAAGTATTTGGAACTCTTAATATGAAGTCAATGTGGGTTTTCGGGTATGTGAAAATAAACGTCCGTTTGAGTACACTGACAACATGTCCTTGTGGAAAAAAATGAGAAGCAATCCCAAAAGCAAAATCACAATAATGGAACCGAAATGCCATCAACCAGAGCAAGATTCAGATGTAACAAAAGTGAGTAAAATTAGCAAAACTATTATTCTTTTGTGTTTAGTAATGCTATTCTCAAAAGGGTGCAAAGAAACTTAGTTTCATCAAATTGTAAGAAAAAGATTCATGCTTCATTAATGAGTTGAACTCAGAATTAGAAACTATGATAATAGTTGTCAGTTTTTTGCCTCTGGTTAATTAAATTAGGCACTACAAGGTGTTGCAGTAAGCCTCAACCTTCTATCCTTTTGTTTTGCATTCAGTTTGTTGTGGCAATGAGGAGAAATCCAAAGCTTAGTGATAAAGTTACAACTCTACAAAAGCTGGTTTCACCTTTTGGAAAGGTATGATAACTGCTAACCCCTTATGAACAAAAAAATTACCCTTCATTTCTTAGTAGTAAATAAACACCACCTTTGAGACAATGATCCTCCCTTTCTGCATATCTGCAGATGCAGACTGACAGCCTCAGTTCTTCATGAGGCTTCTCATTATATAAAGCTTCTTCAAGCACAAATCTGGGTACATAATTGATTCTCCTATCTCTTGGCAGAAAATATATATATATATATATATATATATATATATATATATATATATATATATATATATATATATATATATATATCTTGTGTGTGTGTATATACACATTCAATTTGATCTTAAATTTTTGAAGTTTCATTTTTATTTCTTTAAGTATTACTCTTAAGACAGAATCAAACATTCTATTAGATTTTTTGTGTTTATTGTTTTAATTTGAGATAACTCAACATGTCTTAAAATTGCCACGTCACTAACTTCTTAAAATTACTATGGTAATATTAATATAAAAAACATTTTAAGAAACTAAAATGGAACATTGTAAACTTGAAAGACCAAACTGGAAAAAGGCATAAATATGCAACCAAAATTTTATTTTGACAGTGTGACTGGGAACATTACCACTTGATTTTCAGTTCCAACCAATACTTACTTGACATATATTCTAATTTTTAAATTTAATTGAGACCACTGGTATCATAGTAGAGACAAAGACCATCTTGTAAATTTTCATTGTGAGAGAGTAATTCATTTTGAGATTACTGTAATTTACCTTTTTATTCTGAGATTGTAAACTACTTATTTTGAAATTAATCTAATTTTACCTTTTTATATAATGGGATTGTAGACTTTGTTTCAGATGCTGAGCTTCTCTTACATTAATACGATTAAAGATCATACTCAGGTGAATGCCAGCATATATTAAACAAGGAGGTTTATTATATTTTCTTCTTTGTCTCATAATTTTGTTTCTTAACTGCAGGTGTCACCTCAGGAATTTGGGGACAAATTACAGATTGACCTAAACAGCAGGGGACTGTGTATCAGTCACGGAGAAAGTAAAAATGGTAGACCAGATTCATCTGTCTTCAGCCTCAAGTAATATTATTTACTCCTGAAATTTCTAATTCCACAATTGTGAACAGCATGATGCTGAAAATGAACAGGGACAACTGCTCCTTTAAAAGCATGTTTGTAATAAATGGGCACACTCTTGTCTTAAGGACATCGATGTATTTATTTCAGCTCAAATTCAAAAGAAAGCCACAGCCACAAATAATATATTCTTACCACGTCTCTTCCAACCAAAGACCAAACGCAAAGATGCTTGCGGTACACCATTAATAAAAAAGGCCAACTTCACACTATCAATACGAACTCCCAAATATATTCCATTATCAAGTAAAATGTCCACTACCATTTTAGATCGTGGTATCTATATACTATAAGCTATAAGTTCTCATGTTTCAATTGGTTCAATTTTTCTCATTCACACTAGCTCAAAATCAAACCAGCAATTCTTTACAGCTAATCACAGTCTCAGAAATTACAATGACTGTCAGCCTGCCATGTCGAAGTCGTCTGATGGCTGGTATAAGTCGTAACTCTCAGGAGCTTCTATTTTTCCAGTAAGATAGCCATTTCCTGCAAAAATTAATATAACAGGCTTGATTGTCAAGTTCTCTGATAAAGAAAGGCTCGCATATGAAGATACAGCAACCCTTTCTAAAATTCCGTATTAAGTAAAACAAGGAAGGAAATTTTCACCATACGCAAGCTCCATCACTATACTCCATAGCCTAGTTAAATTAATACACAAGAAAATGAGACTCGCTAAAATGGTTTCTGGAGATGCATGAATATTAAAAGCATATTATATATATAAAGGGATTTTTGGACAATGACAGAAGTAAGATTAAGTACTACACTTAAATGATGACATGCGAATATTCTTTCCAATAATAAATAGCTTGATGTATAGAACAAATTTAAATAAATATGCATGCCTCGTCATTTAATCGGAGATGTAAGGAACTTGATCTAAGCCGCGTCCTATAAATATAGAAAATCTCAAATCCAAGAAAGTCAATTATACAAGTAATTATCAACACAAATTTCTCAATTATAGAAATACCAATTTCTGCAAGAACATCTAAAAAAGGTGGTGCAGGAGTTGAGATAGAACAAGCTATATTGACAGGAAGAATTGTTCTTTTATCCAGAACTAGTTGGAATACTTAGGGCATATCATCTCTTAACAGGGGAATTCAACAGGATTCTAACAAGATAAAAATATGTTAGATTGGCTCACTTGTGGGTGTGAAGGGGCTTAGGGGTTTCTCGTGTTGATTTGTTATTATAGGAAGGCGAGAAATAATGGCAAGATAGCTTGATCACTTAAACAACTTGCAGAAAAGTTGTTATGGAGATGGCTAAGAGAAGTCAAGTGCATCCATGAAATCCTCGTGACAGAATGCCCGGGGAATTGTGGAGGTCTTGATCAAGTAGAAGGGACAACAAGATGAGTTTTGAAGAGAGGAGAGTCGATTCAAACCAGTGGCCCCAAGTAACCAAAGTTTATGTGATTAGGTTAGAATCATCATAACTGAGGAGAGAGAGACTAACTGTATAGTGGTGCGAATGGGTGAGGGGATAAGAATCTGCACTAACATATGGTGGGATGAGAGGAATGGAGACTTGGGAGATTGGGAAAAAACTAGAACTAGACCCCTTGAATGCCTAGAATATTTTTTTCCATACCTCCTGGAAAGTACTAGGTCCAGGATCACAATGATCCGGCCTAATACTAAATAATACTGAACAATTTTGTTTTTCCTCTTTCTGTAATTTTTGTGCCACATATCAACTCACTTCCAACGTATAACGTTAAAAAACAATAATCTTACCTTTATTTGATTAATATAAAGACAAGTACATGAAGAAAGGATAAGAAGTTACATACCGGGGTTCGATAGCAGCCCATCGAAAACAGGCACATGGTTGAAATTTCTAGTGGGTCTTAAACTCCCATCAGACGGGAAAACAGAATCTGGTTTGTTGGACTCTGAATTGTCATTCAAGTACTGCAGATCATCATGGTTCTGGAAACCTAAATTATCAGAAGGCCCAGCAGAAACATTGAGCTGGGACCAAAAATCGTCTGCCTTTGTCTTCTTATCTTTGGAATCAACCTCGGTCTCTACTTCTGATTCCGCATTAACACCGGGTGCCACATTCTGTTGCTTTCTTTTGGAGCGAGCCCGCCTGTTCTGAAACCAGTTATAAACATTGGTCTCAGAAATCTGGCCATGCTGGCTGAGCTCAGCAGTGATCTCCTTGATCTTTTCCTTGCTGGGAGTCCCAGTTCCCTGATCAAATATCCGCTCCAGAATCTGAAGCTGCATAGCAGTCGGAGTCCATCTCTGCCTCGAAGCTATTTTGTGCCCACTAGACCCCAACAAAGGATCGCAGTACATGTTTCCCAGCCTAATCCCTGACACGGAAAACACCAATTAAACAACATTATTATTACGACTAAATAAAGTAAAAACCATCAATGTAAAGGATGTTTACACTCTAATCATATATAAAAAAAAAAATCATGCATGTTATGTTTGCTGACTATTACAATACCCATCCTAGAATTTATTCAAACTATGACTAACAAATCCAACTGGTTGAGAGAATATACACTTACTTTGAACAGAAATTAAATTTAATTACCATCTTGAAAATATATTCCTCTTTCGATTCAATAAACAAGTGCTAATAATCAAAATTGTTTTTGGACTCCTTCACTAAATTAGCTCACACGTTATACTTGTCCAATTTGGAAGTAGTACAGAGCGAGAAAAACTTTATGGCTGAATTAATAACAGTCTAATTGAAGAGTCAGGGAAAGCAAACTAACACACATTGTAACATACAACAAGTAACTATGTAATTAACAACGGTGAAAAATGAATCGAAACCTGCGAGATCTTGGTGAGAAGAGATGGTTTTGTGCATCTCGATGAGTTGCTCGCAGATTGTTGCGTAAACCGCAATCTGCTTGCGGAGAGTCTCGAGTTGTTCGTCTGTCATGACTTTGACGTACATCATTTCGGCGTTACCGTTGGGTTGCCAACTCTGCTTCTGCCACTCCATCACGTTCACCATCGCCTTCTCTCTGCGATCACACACAAACACGTGTGGACAATGTCTTATATATTTATTTTTATTTAATAATTAATTTTAATTGAGAGTGTGAACCCTAATCATGAAACGACGAAAACGAGAAGCAGAGATAATTAAGAATGGAAGAGAAAAGGTTTCAGATCTGACATGGGAGCAGAGAGCGTCGCTTTGGTGTCAGAGGCGTATGTTAGCACTTGCCAAAACTCGAAGCTGTGTCGGCGGCGTACGATGCGGGGAGAGAATAAAAAGCAAGAATGTCCCAGGGATATTCTTGTCCAAAACAAATTATTTCACTGTCCCTAACTAGCTCTGGGCTTTTTATTTCGCAACCTTCTAAAGTTTTTGGAATCAAGAAATTTCATATTTAAAAAAAAAAACAATTAAAGGTTTATAAGAATATTTTAATGTAATAATCTATTTGATAAATAAGAATATGTTATATAGACAAGGTGTTTTAGGAAGATTTAAAATTATTTACCAAAAATTTCTCTTTTTAATATTTTAATTTACGCATTTGTTGTATAATGTAGAAATTTTGATACATAAAAATGCTAAATGTATTATTATTTTAGAGGACACTTTCAGGATTAGTTTTGAGGGTAAAATAGAAAAGGAAGAGGTAATTTATGTTTTTAAGTTAAGAAAGTTATATATAGTTTGTAAGGATGAATAAGAGATTCAGGTATTACGTAATATTTTGTTATAAAAAATAAAATATTTCTTTTTTGTGATTAATATTTTAGAAATATTTGTAAAATTTTATTTGAAATTAAATAATGATTTGATATTTGATTTTATCGAGATCCACGTGACAACACTATTTTAGTAATTTGATGACTGAAATATAAGGAAAGATTTATCTTCAAAAGATTTTTTTTTATAGTAAGAGAGTTTAGATTTTTATAATTAGAAAAAATGAATATGAGTATTGAGGATGAGTATTTCTTAGAGAATACGATAGTGTTTTATTTCATTTCTAGAGTTCAATGTTATAAAATTGATAAAATGATATTAAACAATTTCAATAAAATAAAAATTTACTTCAATGTTAATATTTGTTAGAATAGACATATTTTAGACTATTCCAAAGTAATGAATTTAATGAACCATTGTTTAGCACATTTATTAGACCGAGTAGATACAATACTTTTTATAAATTTTTTTCATAATTTATAATATTAAATGATATAATAAAAGTATCATAATATTTTTATCATATTAAAAAACTAAAACAGGTTATGTTTTCAGTTTTTCCTAGAACATTTGAGTAAGAATTTTAGTTAAATAGAATATAAATAATGTTTGAAGTTTGTTTCAAGAGTTAAATTTATGCTAGACAAGAATTTAGTTGAAATTTGTACTATAAAGTAAAAAACACGACATATTAAAAATACAAGTAGAAGGTTTTTTTCTTACAACATACGCGTAGTATCTAAATAACGTTAAAAAATTACTAATTCATTATCAAAGAAATAGCAGTCAAAAGATTATATAAAATTTGTTTTAAGCCATGTCTAATTTTATACTTCATTTTTATTACATAATATTATTTATAGCATGTTGACAACATTATTATTTTAAAAACGTGAAATATCTACTGATATTATAGAATAGTGGGATTATTTTTTACAGACTTTCTCTTCCATCTCCATATTTATTGATATAACTTCACTTTGATTTGGAATGCAGCAGAATTTATCACATTTTTAAAACGTAATGAAAAGAAAGATTAACCATGTCAATGAGATTGAGAATGAGAATGATAATACCGAGACATTCACTTCAAATTCACAGATACCATCACCCACAGCATGTTCATTCCGATGCCTTTGTAATTTCTCCAATGACCCTCCACATTCCACAATATTGCAACCATAATCACTACTACTTTCACCTTCTTCGTTCATGCAAACACTTGAACCCTTTGCTCCAAATCCATGCCCGTTTAATGGTCTCAGAACAATGCACCTTGGCTCAATCAACACCTAAATCACTGATTCTGTGGAACTCGTTGATCAGAGCCTATTCTAGACTCCGTTTATTCCAGGAAGCAATAAAATTGTATCGTAGAATGTTATGTGTGGGACTTGAATCTGACAAGTACACATTCACCTTTGTTTTGAAGGCTTGCACTGGTGCTTTGGACTTCCATGAGGGAGTTGCCATTCACCAAGATATAGCTTGCAGGGAGTTAGAGTATGATGTCTTTATTGGGACTGGACTTGTTGTGATGTACTCTAAAATGGGTCACTTGGACAGTGCAAGAAAGGTGTTTGATAAAATGCCCACGAAGGATGTTGCTACCTGGAATGCAATGATTTCAGGGTATTCTCAGAGCTCAAACCCTTGTGAAGCAATGGAAATATTTCGGAGGATGCAGATGGAGGGTGTGGAACCTGATTCTGTGAGCATCTTGAACTTGGCTCCGGCTGTTTGTAAACTAGAGGATGTTCGTTGTTGCAAGTCTATAAATGGTTATGTGGTTAGGAGACGTGTATTTGGTGTGGTTTCTAATTCATTGATAGATATGTATTCTAAATGTGGTGAGGTAAATTTGGCTCGTCGGATATTTGACGAGATGAAGGTTAAAGATAATGTCTCGTGGGCAACGATGATGGCTGGATATGTGCATCATGGCTGTTTCTTTGAGGTGCTTCAATTACTTGATAAAATGAAACAACAACGTGTGAAGATGAATAAGGTATCGGTTGTAAATTCCCTTTTAGCGGCTGCAGAGATGAGAGACCTAGAAAAAGGGAAGGACCTTCATAATTATGCTTTACATGAAGGGATAATGTCAGATATTGTTGTTGCTACTCCTATTGTGAGCATGTATGCAAAATGTGGTGAGTTGAAAAAAGCTAAAGAGTTGTTTCTGAGTCTTAAAGGAAGAGATTTGGTTGCTTGGTCTGCCTTTTTATCAGCTCTTGTCCAAGCAGGATTTCCTGGAGAAGTGTTATCTATATTCCAAGAGATGTGGCATGAAGGTTTGAAACCAGATAAAACGATTCTGAAAATTCTTGTTTCTGCATGTGCAGACATTTCAAATGCAGGGTTAGGTAAGATTGTGCACTGCTACACTATTAAAGCAGACATGGTGTCTGATATTTCAGTTGCAACAACCCTTTTCTCGATGTACACTAGATGTGAATTATTTTTGTATGCTATGGCGATATTCAACAGAATGCAGTATAAAGATGTTGTGGCATGGAATACCTTGATCAATGGGTTTACCAAATTTGGTGACCCACGTCTTGCCTTCGAAATGTTCCATACACTACAGTTAACTGGGGTTCAACCAGATAGTGGAACCATGGTGAGTTTGGTTTCAGCTTGTGCCCTTCTGGATGACCTACATCTAGGAACCTGCTTTCATGGAAATACTATAAAGACTGGTTTTGAACCTGACGTGCATGTAAAAGTTTCTCTAATAGACATGTATGCCAAATGCGGGAACCTTTTCTCAGCCGAAAACTTGTTTCAATTAATCAAGCATGTAAAGGATGAAGTACCTTGGAATGTGATGATTGCGGGGTACCTGCACAATGGAGGTGCTAATGAAGCAATTTGCACTTTTAATCAAATGAAATTAGAAAGTGTAAGGCCCAATTTAGTCACATTTGTGATCGTTCTTTCGGCTGTATCATATTTGTCAATGTTAAAAGAGGCCATGGCTTTTCATGCCTGCATAATCCGAATGGGATTCATATCTAGTACCCTGGTCGGAAACAGTCTTATTGATATGTATGCTAAATGTGGACAACTCGGTTATTCGGAGAAATGCTTTCATGAGATGGAAAATAAAGGCACGATCTCGTGGAATGCAATGCTTTCAGGTTATGCAATGCATGGCGAAGGTGAACTGGCACTCGGACTTTTTTCACTTATGCAAGAGAACCATGTCCATGTTGATTCACTTTCCTACCTTGGTGTATTATCTGCCTGCAGACATGCTGGTTTAATTCCGGAAGGAAAGAACATTTTCCATTCCATGACTGAGAAGCACAATCTTCAACCCAACATGGGACACTATGCCTGCATGGTTGATCTTTTAGGCCGTGCTGGTTTATTTGACGAAGTTTTGAGTTTAATTAATGGAATGCCAACAGAACCCGATGCTCAGGTCTGGGGTGCCCTCCTGGGAGCATGTAAAGTGCATTCCAATGTGAAGTTAGGAGAGGTTGCCCTTCATCACCTCCTTAAACTTGAACCAAGAAACGCGGTTCATTATGTAGTTTTGTCAGATATATATGCTCAATGTGGTAGGTGGGTCGATGCCAGGAGAACAAGATCAAACATGACCGACCACGGATTGAGGAAAATTCCCGGATATAGTTGGGTTGGAGCTCATAAGCAAGGACCATCCCTTTCTGGATAGTGGCAAATCCCAACCAAACCACTGCTTTAACATGCAAATACATAAGAACTTGTTATAACATGTTTGACAAAAAGAAATAGTTGTTAGCGTTCTGACAGTCTCGCTTTTTTCGGTACATAGCAAAAGAATATGTAACTAAAACTCAAAATAGATAATTAAGCACTTGAATTAACACTCAACAGTGCAGAACTGTGATACATATATACAGTACACAACAAAAACAACGTTGAACAAATGTACCTAGCCTTACAAAAACAGTTAGTTTGAGTTTGCAGTGTGAAAATAATAAATATATATATATATA